ATTCCAATGTGTGAATATAGCATAGTGCATTCATCCACTGAGCATCTGAATGTTTCCAGGTGTTTGCACTTGTGAACAGTGCTCCACCGCAGTTCAGGGCACTGCCTGGCCTCCACCTAGGTCTACCATCTCAGTATGGAACTTGAGTAAAGGGATTTGTTTGTGCTCTGGGTAACAAAGATCCAAAAATCTGGGGCTTAAAAAGACAGATAACAATCTCACGCAAAAATCCTGATTTAGGTGGCTCCAAACTGGAATGGTCAGAGACCCACGCTGCTTCCAGCTTTCTGTTCCACTAGCCACCTTGCCCTTCTGGTCCAAGATGGTGCTCCAGTAGTCACGTTCCCTTTGTAAGCAACAAGAAGGGAGGAGAGGCAAAGAACAGACACCACCGATCTCTAAAAGACATCCGCCCTGCCCTGGCCAGTTTGGCTCAGTGGCTAGAACGTTGGCCTGCGGACAGAAGAGTTGGGAATTTGATTCCTGGTTGACCTCAGTTTCGGGTTCGATCCCCGGCCTGGTCAGGTTCATGTGAAAGGCAACCGAGCCCATGTGTCTCTCTCATGTCGATGTTTCTCTCTCTCTCTTTCTCTCCCTCCCTCCCTTCCACTCTCCATGGAAAAAATGTCCTCTGGTGAGGATTTAAAATAAATAAATAAAAGACATTCCCTCCTGGCCCTGGCCGGTTTGGCTCAGTGGTTAGAGCGTTGGCCCGCAGCACCACTGAGTTGGGGGTTTGATTTCGGTCAAGGGCACGTGCCTTGGTTGCAGTTTGTCCCCGGCCCTGGTCGGGTCCTGCGGGAGGCAGCTAGTCGATGAATGTGGCTCTATCACATCGATTTTTCTGTGTGTCTCTCTGTCCCTCCCTCCCACTCTGTCTGGTGATAAATAGAAAAATATTCTTGGGTGAACAATTAAAAAAAAAGACATTCCCTCCTCCTATATTAAATTGCTTTAGCACACTTTGCTTATATCCCATTGGCCAGGGGTAAGTTTCCTGGCCATATGCCAGCTGTAAGACTGAGAAATGGAGTTTTCATCCTAGGAGGCCATGTGCCCAGCTAAAAGAATTGCTATAGTGGTTGGCACTTAGCTATCTCTGTCACAACTTCCTAGGGGTCCCCAGTTATTGGCACTCAGTGGGGCAGTGGGCACTTGGAAGGCAGGTGTAGAATGGGACGGGAGTGAGGATGAGGCAGGAGGGATCTAGTATCTGGGTTAGAGAAAGTTACTGTGACCTTGGCTTGTCAGGTCCCATGTCTGGGCCTCAGTTTCCCCATGTATAATGGGAGGTATTGTAAGGATTAAATGAGAAGATATATGTACAGCACACTGCATGGTGCCTGGAACCTACAGAGCCCAGCAAGTGGTCACTGCTGTTATTGTGGCTCCCTTGCCTGGCATCAAGACCTTAGTCTCTAGCCCTGCCAACTCTCCCGTTTCAACCCAGGCCACAGCCCTACCTGAACTTCATCCAACAGCCTCCATGCCTTTGCCTGTGCTGTCCTCTGTACCAGGAACGCCCTTACCCTCTCTCCTTCAGCCTAATTGCATCATTCTTCAAACCCAACTATACTGCTCCATCCCCTGGGAAGTCTTCTCCAACACATGGAAAAATCACCTTGGACCCCTTTGAACATTTATGGTGCCCCTGACCCTCACCATACTCCACCTCCACACCCGTCTGGGTCCCCTTTTCCCCCACCCCAACAAGCAGACATCTCAGGGTAGGCCCTCACCTCCCACCCCCATCACCGAGTGTGCTCTGGGTTAAAGCAAGGAGAGAGAAGGGGTATGAAGAGGATAAAAGAGACAAAAGGAGGGAGAAGAAAAGGAGGAATTCAAGCCCCTCAAATGGTGCTTGGAGTCCCTGGTACAGGCAGGTAATAAATGATTTTTCCTTATAGGAACAGCGAGGTTCATGGATTATAGCCTTTGTTTTCCAAAAAGTGGGCTGAGTCTTTTTTCCTAAAAAGACTGGCTGCCTCCCAGGTAAAGGAGAAAGAGAAATTGTTGCAATCCCTTGCTCCAAGTCCCTTGTTTAGAAATCTATGACTGTCCTAGAGAGAGACCCTGGAGGACCTTGTGCGTCAAAAAGGCAAAGTCATTGTAAGAGTAACATTAACTGCATGCTACTATGTTCTAAGTGCTTTGCACATATTAAGTAATTTAATCCTCACAACAACTTTACAAGATAGGTTTTATTATTTTCCCATTTTACAGTTAGAGAAGTTAAGGTACAAAGAAGTTCAACAACTTGCCCAGAACAACACAGCGAGTAAATGGTAGCGCCAGGATATACACCCAGGGGGATGAGGGGCTCTGGAGTCTGTACCCTCTAGCTATTCTGTCTCAGAAAGGAAAGCTGGGAATGGAATTTACCAGCAGCCCACAATTTTCACTCTTGAAAAAGTTACCACAAGGTCACAGTTCTTGGTGGTCTACTGGGACAGCCATCTGGTCTTTACAGGGGCTCAGCCTGGGCTGTGGAGAGAGGCCCTCTGCCTTCTGCTCTCCCTCTTGCCCACTCCCCTGTCACAGGCAACTGAAAAGTCTGGTCTCAAGACTTGGAACAAGATGTAAGGTGGGTAATATCTGTACTGCTAGGCATAGCATGGCATCATAAAGGGAATAAGAACTAGCCTCTGGCCCTGGCCGGTTTTGCTCAGCGGTTAGAGCGTCCGCTCAGAGAGACCCGGGTTCGGTTCCCGCTAAGGGCGCGTACCTTGGTTGCAGTTTGTCCCCGGCCCTGGTTGGGTTGTGCGGGTGGCAGCCACTCGATGTGTCCCTTTCTTGTTGATGTTTCTCTCTCTCTCTCTCTCTCTCTCTTCCTCGCTCTCCCTCCCACTCTATCTGAACAACAACAACAACAAAAAGGTGGAAAGAATGTCCTCTGGTGAGGATAAAAAATAAATAAAAAAAAAAGAACTAGCCTCTGTCTTCTGACATCCCAACATGTCTATCTCACTGTGGCTCAAAGAATCAAAGTCCCTTCTGTCCAAGTTGTCAGCCTCTCCAGCAACGGCACCTGTAATGGATTTCCAAGGTGAACTGGGCCTGGTTTCCCCACTTCCTCCACCACCTACAAGCATCCCTCTGACATTACTATGGAGTTTAACTCCTCCAGATCCCTTCCCTGAATGCTCCATTGCCCATCAGCCTTGGACATTAGGCAGGGCTAAAAGGAAAATATTGGATCAGGTATACAGTTCTTCCCCTCCCTGCCCTGCCCTCTCCTCACTCTACTTTCTAAAAAGGAAGACTCTCCACCATGGAGAGTCACGTACAGGGTCTGTGTGGTAGACCAGCAGCCGAGGGCAGGCCAGATCGTTCCACAGGAGGAAATAAGGCCTAGAGGAGAAGTGAGGGGTATGAGGGGTGGGGTAGGGGAGGAGAGATAAGGAAAAAAGCAGAGATGAGGATCTGCAGAGGTGTGGCTGAGGGGAGAGGTGTGCAGGGGGAGAATAGGTGAGGACTTGGAAGGACCTTGCCTGGGATAATTCCCCCTTTGTTGCCTCCTTAGGACCTTCAGTGAAGAAGGCTTTCCAAGACTTTTTAAAGTTCAGTTTGGGGTTTGAGATGCTTCCTTTTGAGATGGCCTCTGGATAGCCTTCTAGGTGCCCGCAGGCCAGAATGACGAAGCTGAGAGGCCAGGATAGAGGAAACCGCAAGAGCAGTCTGTCTTGAGACCGGTCAGCAGGTTCCTGACCACGCGGCCTCCATGTCGCAGCCTCCTGATGGCCCTAGGGTGGCTGCGAGTCTCCTCAAGCGGCTGACTTCTCTTTTTAGAATGAAGCAGTGTTGAAGGGCTATTTCCTCTCATTGCGAGGGCCTGGTAGAGGTGTCCCAGGCATAGACGATACCCTGAGCCTGAAAGAGGTACATTGGAAGAGGTGGGTGGAGGAGAAGTGGGGTCTGGGGCTCTTCCTGGCCTTTAATGCTCTGACCTCACCCAGCTTCTTTTCTTGACACCCTACTTCTCACACATCCAGCTCCCAGGGCTTAGTTGAAACTCATGCTGTGTGGCCCAGCTCAGTGCAGCTCTGCCTCTGGGTTTTGTATGCACACACAGTGTCTTCACCAGGAGCAGCCTTCTCTGCTGGCCTTTTGGATTCCTCCCACCTCGAGCCCCGCCTCTTCTAAGAAGTGCTCCGATTTCTCCTCCTGCTGAGCCCCCACTCCTGCCATTGTCTGGAGAGCAGCCATGAGACAGCTCTTGTTTTTTCAGCTTTCACATACAGGAGGCCACATGCCTTGGACCTCAGCTCTGCCTGTCTGCTCCAGGGCAAAGCCTAGCACAGGGCTGGCTCAGGCTGCACTAACATTCCCCCACTGCTGTTTGCAGAGCTCTTATCAGCCTTTAACATCTGGTTCCGATGCTCCCCTCCCCCACAACAGATCTTTCCTGACTCCTTGGACTAGGTTATGGGCATCCTCTGGGCACTTCTTCCCCACAGCCATGCCTCCCTCTGTCACAGCCTGTAACATCACTGTGCTAGTACCTCCAGGAGTTGGGAGCCTGTATGGGACAGGGCTAGGGCTGGTTTTTTTAGGGCCCCAGAACCAACGCAGCCTGAACGCATGGTGTCAGTAAAGGTTTGCTGAATGAATGGAACATTACACTCAGCTCACATTCATCTCTTAAAACCCAGCTCAAATGCCTCTTCTCAGAAGCTCTCACTTCCCCCTCCCATCTTCTCCCTCCCTTATTAGTGACTCCAAAGCATGCAGCATACTCAATTATAGTACCTGTCACGCTATATATATATTTTATTGTTGTTGTGGTTGTGGTGGTGGTTGTTAATCCTCACCTGAGGATATATTTTTTCCTATAGATTTTTTTTAGAAAGAGTGGAAGGGAGGGAGGGAGGGAGAGAGAGAAAGAGAGAGGGAGAAACAGTGATGTGTCTACATCTACTAGTTGCCTCCCTCATGCATCCTGACCAGGGCTGGGGATCGAACCTGCAACCCAGGTACATGCCCTTGATCCGGAAACAAACCCGCAACCCTCCAGTGCTCAGGCTGACACTCTAACCACTGGCCACACTGGCCAGGGCTTGTGAGCAGCTTATCATGGCTTCTCCAACTCTCCATGGCTGACTGGGACCTTCTGCAGAGCCAGGCTCAGGCTTATCTGTCTCTGTGCCCACAGGACCTGGTCCAGAGAAAGGGCTTAATAAATAGTTGTTGGTGAGATTTGGGGGTCTTTGGGGCACCTCACTCCATGCCTAGCTGAGCTAAACTCAAATTCTCTGCATGTTTTAGGGTTGGTCAGGCTTCTTGTACCCCAGCCACAATGGCAATCACCATGGCTGTCCAGACCCTGCGTGTTCTGTCCCAGTGGACTCAGCGACCCTGTCGCTGCCACTTGGCTGTGAGTTTCTGTAGCAGCTCATGTGGCCGCCGGCGGAACTTCTTCTGGGTGAAGTAGAAGAGGATGGGATCCAGCACACTGTTGGCACTGGCAAAGGGCCGTGTGCCTTTGTAGGCAGCTGCGAAGGCCTCCAGCACAGGGCAGGGGACACCAGGTGTAGAGCGCACTGCCAGATAGGCTGTCTTGGTGATGTGGAAAGGCAGGAAGCTGATGGCAAAGGCGGCTGCCACCACCACAGCCATTCGGGCTGCCTTGCCACGCCGCTCCTGGGCCACAGGCCCCGTTGGGCCGCCCTGGCGGCACAGACGGCGGGCCAGACAGCTGTAGCAGGCCAGCAGGGCAGCAAAGGGCAACAGGAAGCCGACAACTGTGAGAGCCATGCCATAGGGCAAGTATCGGGTGGCCAGGGCAGGGGGGCTTAGGTCGTAACAGACAGTACGGTTACGCTGGATCCCTGTGGAGGCAAAGAAGGCTGTGGGCAGGCATTGGGTTGTCACGGCCAGCCACACAGCCCCACACACTATCCACGCAGCCCGGCGGCCCCCACGCTTGTGCCAGGGGGCCAGAGGGTGGCAGATGCCCAGGTAGCGCTGGAAGCTGATGCAGGTGAGGAAGAGGATGCTGCCGTGTAGGTTGGCATAGAAGAGGAAGCGCACCAGTCGGCAGGTGAGGTCGCCAAAGGGCCAGTGGTCGCCTCGGGCATAGTTGTAGATAAGCAGGGGCAGGGAGCAGGCATACAACAGGTCAGCCAGGGCCAGGTTCAGGTTGTACACAGCTGTGCGGGTCAAGGTCCGGCGGGACGTGCAAATCTGGACAATGACACAGATATTCAGCGGAAGGCCGGCCGCCAGCACCACCGAGTACACGGGTGGCAGCAGCAGTCGCTTAAAGTTCTCTCGGTAGACGCAGTTGGTTGGTGGTGAGCCCAGAGCCTGGTTTGTGCCATTGTGCCACTCCATGGCTGCCTGACTGATCTTCCTACATCTGGAGAGGCTGGGGAAGCAACATACAACGTGTTAGTAACCACATTCACTGACCACCCAGTGGGCCCCTGTCCCTCTCTGGGCCTGATCTCCCCACCTGAATCGTCTCTGATACCACCCCACAGAGGCCTCACACAGCCCTCACAAAACCTGGAATATAATAAAGCTCAAGCTTGGGAGAAATCCAATTCCCTTTAAAAAATTTTAATTTATTGATTTTTTTTTAGAGGGAGAGAGAGGGAAAACATTGACTTGTTATTCACTTGTTATTCACTTGTTATGCATTCATTGGTTAATTCGTGTATGTGCCCTGACTGGGGATCAAACCCACAATCTTGGTGTAGCAGGATGATGCTCTAACCACTGACCTACCCAGCCAGGGCTAATTTACTTTTTTAAAAAAAATATTTTTTCTTTATTGATTTTAGAGAGAGAGATAAAAACATCGAAGAGAGAGAACATCAATTGGCCACCTCCTGCATGCCCCCCACTGGGGATTGGGCCCACAACCTGGGCAGGTGCCCTGACCGGGAATTGAACCAGTGACCTCTTGGTGCATGGGTTGACGCTAAACCAATTAGCCACACTGGCCGGGCTAATTTACTTTCTTTTTATAATATTCATTTGTCACCAGACTTCCTGGTGAACTTCTTGTCCTCCTTCAAAATCTTAAGTCAAATGTCTCTTCTCTGTAAGTGGAGATTGATGGATTTTTATTTGAATCCCAACTTACTTACTGGCTGTGTGACCTTGAGCTACCTTCTCTGTGTCTCAGCTTTCCTACCCGAACAATGGAGGAATGGTGCACCTATGTTATGAGGTTAGAGGCACTGAATCATGCTACAGAGGGCTTCCTTGGGCACCCTGGAGTTTAGAGATTATGCTCATGGTGGCCTTGCCTGTCTGTCTCTCCTTCACAGATCGGGAACCTCCTGAGTAGAAGTGCCAGGTCTGGTTCCTCTCTGTCTGAGTCCAGCCCCAGGTCCAGGGCACAGAGGGCCATAGTCATTCTTAATGAATCAACATGAACAAAATATTCACACACCGTGAGCTGACCAAGGACAGCGTCTACCTCCTTGTCCTGGACTCCACCTTCCAAAGCCATGGTCCTTCTTTTGGCAGTTAAGTTTTCTTATCTGTAAAATGAGGGAAGGAGATGATTCAGGAGTTCCCTAAGCCTCCTCCTTCCACTCTGTCTTAAGGCTGTGCAGCTCTGGAAGAGCCTCGGAAGCCACAGCGCCGTCTGGTGGCTAGAGTAAAAACAGCTTCCCTGAAGGCAGATGTTAGAGGGAGCAACCACATTAACAGCTTACTTAACAGGGAGGGAAATCCAGATACAGTGAGGGGAAGTGGCTGCTTAATTTTACTGAGTGAATTAGAGGCAGAGCCCTAGCCGAGCTGGAGCCCAACCACCTGACTCAGGAGACAGCTTAGTGTAGCCCACGGACATGGAGTATAGAGGTGCCATGCACAGCTTCAGAGAACCAGGCAGGCTTCCCTTCTTCCATGCTGTTGAACCCAGGGCATGTCACATGCCTTTTCTGGGCCTGTGTCCTCATCAGTAAATGTACGATAGGCCTGACATACAGTAGGTGTTTAATACATGTCATGCCATGCTATTTTATCGTACATCTTATCCCTCCATTCATCCCTTTAGGCTGGGGCTTGGAGGAGCCAGCGGCACAAATGCCTTAAGGGGTCCCCTGGTGGCTAAGTCTGACTTCCTGATGCTCACCTCTCAATTGGCATTTTCACATTTATTGGTATTCAGAGAGAATTCACCCCTTAACTCCAATGGACCTGTAAGGCAAAGAGAGCGAGTCAACCCCCCCCCCCCTCTATTTTACAGATGGGAGAAACAGAGGCCCAGAAAAAAATATGAAGTCCTACAAATGCATTCAGAGGGTGATAGAGGATTGAGGCTGAGTATATGGACTCTGGTTCAGATGCCCAGGTTCAAATCTCAGCTCTGCCACATGTGAGCTGTGTGGCCTTAGGCTTATTACTGAACCTCCATGCCTTCGTTCCCCTGGGGCAAGTGGTAGCTGTTCCTAATGTAAACACACCTGCTAAGCAAAGTTATGAGATTTTAAAAATTTATGTTAGAGAGCAAAACATAACTCGCCACAATAGTTTCTTCCAACTTAAAATTCAGTTTTGATGAAAATATTTTACCCAGATTCTGGGCAACTGCCAAATGATGATGTTTGGATTCTCCAGTCTGTATCTCAAATGCTGTATCACCTTTAGTTACCACAGGTTCTTTGTGGGACTTCATCCCATGAGTGAAGAGTGCTGGGTACCCAGCTCACCAATGAAACACAAGGGCAAGGCCAAGGAGGAAGCTTGGTGGTATTCCCACTGTAGCCAAGAAGGAAGATTAGTACAGACAAGATAAAGTTTATTCATTTATCTCTTCATTCATTTGTTCATTCTTTCATTCATGCATTCGTTTTCTGGTTTTTACATGCTAGGCATTTAATGAGCATTTACTGCTTGCTGGATGCGTGAAGTCACATTAGATAGGTGTAGACGTAGATGTAGGTAGATAGATACAGATACAGAAATACATATACATGTTTACCTATACTTATACATATACAGGGTGGGACAAAAGTGGGTTTACAAGAATAAACACAGAGTTGTTTATTATTATTATTATTATTATTTTTTAATCCTCACCCGAGGATATTTTTTCATTTATCTTCAGATAGAGCGGGAGGGAGGAAGGGAGGAAGAGAGAGAGAGAGAGAGAAACATCGATGTGAGAGAGACACATCGACTGGTTGCCTCCCACACAACCCCAACCAGGGCCGGGGACAAACCGCAACCGAGGTACATGCCCTTGACCGGAATCAAACCCGGGACTCTTTGGTCTGCAGGCCAACACTCTAACCGCTGAGCCAAACTGGCCGGGCAGAGAGCCTATTCTTATATTACTATGTATTAATGATTGTATTACTTTCCATACTAATAACTGTAAACCTACTGCTGCCCACCATGTATAGGTGGCAGTCTGAGGGGGAGACCAGTGGGAGCCATAGGATGGAAGAGACTTTTCAGAGGAAGATGAAGGATGGAGCAAGTCCCTGATGGTTGAGGAGGGTTTCCCTGGGTGGAGAGGGGTGTGAGGGTCCCTGGGGTGTCTCCAGGTGGGGAGGAAGGTGGAGCAGGCAAGGCCTCAGAGGAGAGCAGCCTGCTGGGGCCAGGGGCGTGGTGAGAGGAAGGAAGCTGGTGGAAGGACCCTTGCTGTGCCCCTGAACCTTCCTTCGAGAGGCCTGTTGGCCTCAGACACCACCCCAGAGAGAGCCCTCTGACTGAGGTGACTGGTGACTCTAGTCGTTTTCTGGCCCCTAGTCCCTGGTGAGATGGGTCCTCTTGGCAAAAAGCAGGGCTGTATGAGAGGGTCCAGGGAAAACCTTCAGGTCTGTTCCAGAAAGGCAGGCCTGGCTGTCACCTGGCGCCCTCATCCATTCTGCCTTCTGAGGACGCAGGAGGGTTGAGCTGTCCTCCCGGTTCCTGGCAGGAGCTGGTTCCAAGAGAGGACTCGCTTGGCCCCTGCCTCCCGGCTGCAGCCAACATTGTCTCCCTCCAGCTCTCACATCTGTCACCCACTCTTGGGTCCTGAGGCCTGGACCAGCTCAGACCCCAGCCTCTTCCTGGGCTCCAGCTACGCTGCCCGTGGTGGCGGGCTTTCCAACAGATGGTTCTATCTCCTTCGGTGCATCCATCTGTCCTTTGGGGAAAAGCTCAAACCCCTGTCTTAACCGTCAAGCTTCTGCTGAGCCTTCTAGCCTCATCTGAAGTACCTCAGGTCCCCCCACTCTGCCCCTTCCTCTCTTATCACACTGTTCCCAAGACACTGAAATGGCCAGAAATCCAGACTTCCTCTCCAGCCTCCCCATCTTTACTGTTCTCTTCACACAAAGTGCCATTCAACCCATCTCTGTTCGTCAAAACCCCAAGTGTCCATCAAGCTCCAGATCCTATTTTGCTTATTCCTTTTTTAAAACAATGTTTTTTTAATTGATTTTAGAGAGGGAGGGAGAGAGAGAGAAACATTGATAGGTTGCCTTCCAGGGACCAAACCTGCAACCCGGGCATGTGCCCTATTGGGAATCGAACTGGCAACCTCTCGGTGCACAGACAACACTCAGCCAACTGAGCCACACCATCCAGGGTGCCTCTTCCTCTTCTGATCCCCCAGCTGGAGGGATTCCCTTCCTCTGGGCACTCCTAACTCTGTGGACCTCCTTTAGGTCAGCACTAAACCCAGCCTGCCCACCCAAAGTTAGTCCCTAGTGTCCAGCCCCAGCCCCACTAGCCCATGGCCCCGAGATGCATCAACACTCACATGCAGCCTCCTGTCCCTGAAGCACCTTGGTGGCCCCGAGTGTGCTGGAGCAAGGGGAAGCCAGACGTGAGGCTCCCACCCTCCTGCCCTCAGCCCAGGCTGTGATACCTCTGAGGGGCGGGCAGCTTCCTCTGTTTCCTGGCAGGGCCGTCACCGACTGAAATAGCCCCTGCGGGGGCCACCCCCTCCCTAACACCCTTAACACCAAGGCCTGGCGGAAACTGGGCCTAAGAGGAGCAAGGAGGTCGAGAAAAGTTCTCCTTCCCGGAACCCTTCCCCACCCCAGCAGAGGAAAAAGAGTAATGAGGGGGTAGAGACAGAGGGGAGTAGGGGGACCAGAGGCTGCTGGTCAAAGGTCAGCCACGTAGACCCAGTAGCTTCTTTTTTCCTCAGCCTCTTCTCAGTCTTCTCATCTGTCAAATGGACAGGGTAGTGATTAAAGGGCTTCTAGCTTCTCCTCTGGCCATGACACCCAGAGCCATCTTCCCGGTCACCCACTCCTCCATCCACCCCTCCTGTCTCCATTATTCAACAGCTCATTCCTCTGTGTGGCTATTCACTTGTGCACTTATTTAGCCACGTTCTCCCTCCCTTTGTAGCTCTCTTCCTTTTCTACAAGAGCATTTATCACACACCTACTATATGCCATCAGATTCCCACATTTCCCCGCTAGCAGTCACTGTCCCCTTCCCCTTGGCAGCCCAGGGCTCACTGGGAGCGATAGGTGTGGGTTGTGGGATGGAGGTGATACCTCCAAGAACTCCCTGAGTGAAGTTCTCCCTGCCTGTGGGAATCCTCCCCCAACTCCTCCTGACCATCAGATCAGGACTCAGCCCGTGGGCCCAGGTTTTTATTCGGCCTTGGCCCCTGCTCACTGTGATTTGGACAAGCCCCTTTCCCTCTCTGACCTTGGTGGAGTGTGGTCATACTGGCCACCAGCAGACTGTGAGGATGAGCTGCCAGAGGGAGGGAGTACCCTTCTTATTCTGTACAGTGTAAGCACTGACCTCACCCCCAAGCCCATTTTACAGGCAAGCAGCTTGAGGAACCAAGTCAGGACTGAAAGTTTAGACCAAACAAAGAAAATTCAGGTTTGAACAGCTGGTAAATACTTGGTCAGTCATGCATGAATTGAACACCTACTGCATATTCAGGTCTGCTAGGAGGTTGCTGTGCTGATTAAAAGCATGGATCTCCTGGTCTGATTTGAGCTGTGCTGGGGCCCAGAAGGGCAAGGAGGCCTGGTCTTCAGTCTAGCAGCCGATCCTCTGCTGGGTTCCCAGGATGAACTTCTGTGGTCACCCCCAATAGGGTGTGTCAATGTGTGTCCCAAACATGGGAGCAACCCCAAGGGCTTCCTAAGGGTGTCAGCCTCAGGGGAGAGCTCAGGTGTTCAGGGTCATAGGTACAACTGGGAGGGAGTGACCTGGAAGGGCCCCTGGAGAAGACATCTCTGTTGCAGGTCCTTAAAGGACCAAGGGGACTTGGATATTGAAAAGTGGAGAGACATCCTAGGCAGGAGGCACAGAGGTGGGGAATGGACCTACCTTGTAGGGAGATGAAAAATAAGTATTGTAGCCAGAGCATGGGATGAGCTGTGCAAAGAGGAGGCAGACGGGAGGCCTGAGGGTGCTGGCCTATCATAAACCCCCAGCAGAGCCCTGGCCGGTTTGGCTCAGTGGTTAGAGCGTCGGCCCACGGTTCAGAGAGGCCTGGGTTTGGTTCCTGCTAAGGGCATGTACCTCGGTTGCAGTTCGGCC